ATCATGTGATTAAACTGGATATATTTTTTAGTAGATTTGCAATGTGTATCTACAATCGTTTTGCTATTAAAAAGGCTAGTTCTAGGCTGAACTCCTACTTCAAGTGAAGGTCAAATTACAAAATTTGTACAAAAGAAAGTAGCAACGTTGGTAACTGCACAGTTGTATTAGATTCGGCATGACGATGCACTTATGGAATCTTTTGTTCGTATATTGAAATTTTTCCATATAACACGCGTCAATATTTTTTGTAGGTAATTCGTATATATTAACTTTAATCACCATAATAAACTTATAATTAACTAACGGAAAATTAATATTATTATTATTCTTTATTGATACGAGACAGGCGAAGGTATGTGAATATTTATTCGAAGAAAAATGTGATACTCCTTAAAGAGGTGTAATTCTTAATGTCAAATTTTAATAATTATTAACCTTAACAAAATGGGAGAAAGTATCCTAAAACTATTATTGGGAAATTTATTTATACTAAATGATATATATCATTTAGTCTTTTCAGTTTAAATAGATAGGGTTACATACATACACTGCTAGTATATCATGTTTCCTATGGAATATCATGAAATTATAACGGTGTACTTTGTAGACATTTTTACTCCCCGAGTATTGGATTCCACCAAGGCTGGCTGGCAATATTTTACTTTAATGTATTTAATTACTGAACTCCTGATATCAAATAAAAACTGCGGTACAAATACCTCAACGGCTATTAATGTCAATGATCAGTTGTCAATAATTTTTGTACCACTGTCATTGCTTTTAACGTAAAAAGACTGCGGTATTAACTGCAGAAGGTTTTCCATTATATAACGGTTTTTGCTTGTGACTTACAAAAAAGGATAATTTTTAAATATAATTTGTTTAATGAAGTTTTTAAACCATTGTTTATAGTCTGTAATCGAAGAAATGTTAAGTGGAAGATTTCAGACACAGAATTACTTGATTTCGAGCTTGAAAAATAAAAAAATAATGAAGAGAAATAATTGTCTTCTTCAAGGTATAACTTAAGGTGGCCATATTCCCGGCTGAGAAATAGTGAAATTTCTGGCGTTTTTAGGTACTGAAATCTTTAAAAGTAAAACGTGTAGAACAAAAGTAAGCACAAAAATAAAATCCTTGATGTTTTGTTTATTCATTGTTACCATTTAAATTTACTCAAATAAAATAATAACTAAAAAAATAGCGTTTGTAAAACATGCGTTTGCTGTTATTCTAACCCCACATTTTAAGAATTATTTTCACGTACTTATAAATAAAAGTAAACAATTTTATATGTAGGACTAAGCAAGTAAATGTTATAAGAATATTTACATGTAGAGTTATATATAAAAAAGTTAGTATTTTCGTAGATTTCAGTACCTAAAACTTTGATGGTTTGATCGTTTTTTGCACCTGTTTATTCGTTTTACTGCGGCGTCTTTGAAAATATTCAGGTGGCATGACATAACATTCCTATTATTTGATAAGCTTTAGATTATTCAGTTATTAAATGTTTGAAATTATTTGTCTTTGCGGAAAACACTATTTAAAGAATATGGGGCCCTTAAGTAGTTAAAAATATTTTAAAGGATATCTCTTAGACCATTTTGAAAAGAGAGACTCGTATGAATTTTTATCCTAAATACTTACTCAGAAACTTAGACAGTACAGAGTATTTTGGAAATTCTATACAGGGCGATTCATTTTTTGTGATTAGGACTTTAACCATCGATAGATCTCGTCAAAATAATGTCATTTTGAGGAATACGCTTTTTTCCAAAGGTTTCCTTTTAGAGACTCTTGAAAAAACTTTTCACATGTAATGGATCTATAAAAATCCATTTTTCTCAAAAACCAAGCATTTCATTTAAGAATAATAAGATACCTTTTTGCCGTAGAATAAACGGCAATGTAAAAAGAATATATTAATCTTGAAAAATTTCCAGTGACGTAGAAATTATAAAAAAAATTAGGGGTTATCAGAGCCCCTTGCGGACGCCTATGATTGATTTATTTTCACAATAATTTGTAAAATCGATAGAGCTATTCATTCGTACACTTCATACTAAATATAAAACAAATGGCTTTCATAGTTTAGGAAAAAATAAATAAAAATCAAAACAAAAGTTTCTTCAAGAGCTTATAATGTACAGGGTGAGTTAGTTTTTTGTAGTAGGATTTTAATAGTTGATAGAGAATCATTTTTTAATAAGAGGAGTTCCTATAAACGTAGGTCTTAGAACGCTTTGTTTGTGAGATATAGGGTGTTGAAAACAAACTTTTTTTAAGAATTTTTCTTAATATCTCTAAAAGACCAACATATATTGAACTGAAATTTGGTATTAATAACACATTAGTTATAGTGAATAAAACAAAGATATCTGTTATCCATTTCACTCACCAGTGACGTGCCTGAGGTGGGTTACTGCCCCCTTTAAAAAAACAATTCGTACGCCCGTGGATTTTTCTGGAAAATACCATCATTTCTAAATTTTTTAATCAATTCTGAACAAAACAGCTCTCTTCCAATTTTTTATAAAATGAACGGTTTTTGATTAAATTCATTTGGCATGAAACTGTTCCAACGATATTGGTAATACATTAATTGTAATAAGAAAAATATGATGTACCCTGATAATCAACAAAAACGATTAAATGTGATAACGTTGACATAAGAACGCAAACATTGTGTAAATTAGTTCTTTTTTTAAGTTCTGTGTTTGTTTTTTCATGCCAAATTTCAGTTTAATATCTGTTGTTCTTTTAGAGATATTAAGAAATATTCTTTAAAAAAGTTTGTTTTCTAGACCCTGCATCTCACAAACGAAGCGTTTTAAGACCTATGTTTAGAGGAACTATTCTTATTAAAAAATGATACTCTGTCAACTGTTATTATTCATTCAATCGTGTTTGTTGAATTTCAGTGCACATCATATTTTTCTTATTAATTCACAAACGTATTAGGTACAAATATCGTTGGAACAGTTTCATGCCAAATGAATTTAACTAAAAACCGTTAATTTTATAAAAAATTGAAAGAGATCTGTTTTGTTCCGAAAAGATTAAAAAAATTAAAAAATATGTTATTTTCCAGAAAAATTCACGGGCGTACGAATTATTTTTTTAAAGGGAGCAGTTACCCACCTCAGGCACGTCACTGGTGGGTGAAATGGATAACAGTTATCTTTATTTTATTCACCATAACTAATGTGTTATTAATACCAAATTTCAGTTCAATATATGTTGGTCTTTTAGAGATATTACGAAAAATTCTTAAAAAAAGTTTGTTTTCAACGCCCTATATCTCACAAACGAAACGTTCTAAGACCTACGTTTATAGGAACTTTTCTTATTAAAAAATGAATCTCTACCAACTGTTAAAATCCTACCACAAAAAACTGACACCCTGTATATCTCTAAAAGGAAGCCTTTAGAAGGAAAAGTGTATACTTCAAAATGACATTATTTTGACAAGATGGTTAAAGTCCTAATCATAAAAAGTGAATTGCCCTGTATATGCATTTGATGTCTACTTATATTTTAACGAAAAAAGGAAATATATGTAGGTAATTTATTGAGAAAAAAATCATTCTTGAGTTATTGTTGATTTAAATCTAAAAACCACTGTTGAATAAATCGACAGTAATTTTATGTTCGTCCCACAGCATCTCTAGCTGTTTAAAATTAACGTTATTTGGCTTCATTTGATAAAATTTTTGGAAACATTTATTTAAATTTAATTGAGCTTAATAGTCCAGGCGATATCCGTTTCGGGTTGGGTAAAACGCATATGATCGGAGATTTTTGCTTTAACGGCTTCTAAATAACATCAGAAATGATAATTTTTCTATGCAAATAAAAAAAACGTGGGCTTAATTGTTATTGCAAAAAAGTATAAAATATAGCAAAAAAATTCATTTTTTTCTTGGATTTTTCGTCGGCAACTTAGAAACTATTCGTTTTAGACAAAAATGGAAGAGAAAAAAAGTTTTGTAATTAAATTCTGAACAAGATAGAGTTAGCTGCAATTCGAAAAAATAATTATTATTGTTGTTGCAAAAATTGGAAAAATCATTTATAAAATTGCAAAAAATGCTAATTTCATCCAATTCGGTTCGATAGTTTTTACATAATAATTGTTTACATTTTTTTTAATTAAAAAATTTTCAAAATCGAATTTCTAAAAATCTAAAGCCTTTGAATACTTGAAAATTTCATCACAAAAAGAAGCTTTAAAATGATTTTTGAAAAATTCAAATCGGTGAGCCGTGGGAAAATTGTTTAATGTGCTTTTTACCTACATTTAATTCCAGTAAGAGTTCTTTGAAATAATTTTGATATTAAGTTTTCAATTGCAAATTATAATTTTAAATAGGTATTTAATATTATAGTAAGATCGTATTCAATGCAAACTAGAGCAAAAAATTATCGGTCTTTTATCAAAGAAAAATCGTCTCATCATTTTTAGGAGGCGTAAGATGAACCATTTCAAATTTAAGATGAAATTGAATGTAAAATCTGAAATACCGCTGCATACGCACTGTGTTCTGGTAGTAGCTGTAGTCGCCCAGATGCATCGAGTGTACGAAGTGGTCGGTTATACGTCAAATACTAACCTGGCGAGCTTGGTCGTAAATCAGGAACTGTCTCCAAAAAAACAAGTAAACAACAGTGGCGCGTACAGAGTTAAAATGTAGTACATGCGTAGAATTTAAAAAACAAATTGGATTTATAATAAATTACATTTAAAATAAATAGTTTATGAGAATAAAGGAATTTTTGTAGGAACAAGGGTGCCAGACGTGAACTAATCCCTTCGTACCTTCATAATGTATAAAGAAATTATTCAGTTTCTAAACCCCTGAAAAGAGTATTGCACTGGATCCCTTGACAGGCAATGATTTATTACTTTGCATCAAATACGATCTTACTATAGTTTACCTACAAACAACAATAATGAGCAAAAAAATTAAATCAAATGGAGATTGCCATCTTACCGTGCATTGGTCCAATAACAACCATCACCACCAGCATCAACGACATAACTTTCAATTTCCTGTTGTTCTCGCCCTCCTTAAATGCTACTTTAAAAGTGTCTATGAGGTGTTTCATATCAAAAAAGTCTCTTAGGAAGGCACAGGACTGATCGGGCAACGTCGGCACGTCAATCTTCTTCGGCTCTTTAACCTTCTTGTATCCGTAATACAGCGCCATAACGTACATAACCGCTGAGATCGAGAACACCCCGTAAAACCCGATTTTTTTATACAGGACGCCACTGAGCGCCAGTCCCACGGGAATCCCCAGCGAACAGAACACGTTCACTATACCTATCCGCAATGTCCGCATATCCACCGTGGTCACGTCAGCTATATAGCTGAAGACGCCCATGAACATAGTGAACCAGCCTCCTGTGATGGCGGGGAAGAAGCCCTCCACGAAACCAGCCACCTCCATGGGCAGCTCGTAGAAGAAGAAAGTACATATCATCAGCCCAACCACCGTCATGAACTCTCCCACGATGGGTAGAAGCATGCAGGGTTTCCTCTTGCCCCACCTGTCGCTCCAGGAGCCGACGAACATGATGAGGAAGGCAGGAAGGGCGCTTTGGAGCATGGTCTTCCACACGCCCATGGAAGCGACGAGTTGCTGGACCTCCCTTTCCTCCATGGTGTAGTTTTCCGTCCTTCTTTCAGTCAGGGCGTCGCATACTTCCCGGGAATAACCGAGGTTGACTCTACAAGCTTTTTCTAGGTTCAGGTTCTGAGTGGCTAAGCTAGCAAGGACGCTGGGTATAATGTAGCAGGCCAGCATTGGTTCCACGGTGATGTTTTCCATAAGGAAGTTGTACCTCTCCTTCCATGTCATGGAGTCTATGTTGACTTTGGATTCCGCCTCTTTGATCTTGTCATTGTGATTCTTCTCGGCATTTTTCTTCTCTGCCTTGGCCATCTTGGTCTGTTTAAGAACCTGAAAATAAAATAAACATTGGCATTCAAATTATTCAAAAACACTAATATCAAAATAAATTACGTTGAATTAAAGGTATGTTTTGTTCAAAATAATTTCTCTATTTTATCTCTGCTGTTGAGAAAAACTCTATAAAATAATTGAAGTGGATACTAATGGCAATAGAAAATATTATAGGCTTTTATTTTAAATATACTAAGTTTAAATTAATTCAGCCTTGTTTTCAACTATGGTAAATATGTACAAGAAGCCTTTGAGAAAAAAGCCCCGAAATAGACTCTAAAGCGTTGGTCAGCTTTACTATGGAGTTGTGTTAAAGGAACATAAGTGTAAGGAATTACAAAGGAGTTAAATCAGCACTTGAAGACTTCAACTTAAGTTTCTTCTGAAGAAGATATGTCTCCTGAACCGTCAAGAAACAAGATCGACGGCATTGCAATCAGTCCAAAAACTCTTCTAAACTTTTCATCAAATGAAGTCTATATATACTATAAATATAATAATCGATAATAATTTATTAGTACTATTTGGACAGAATACGTTAACATCTGACTTCGTTTGATGTGAAACATTTTAGAATGAATTTGATTTACCTTATACATTTAAAGTAAAGTAACAACGATATTCCTCTCATTCCTATTAGTATAATATAAAATATTATAAATGATGGTTATTTATTTATTGCCATTTGAACGCGATGTACTAAAATAGGTATACCGAAGCAGTTATAGTCCAGGCAAGTTAGACCAAAATCACCTAGAATACGGAGACATTTTTTTCTGATGAACCGATCGAGTTGCGGTTTTCGGCATTGTCAAATGGTAACAATTGACTAAATGTTGTAGAAATTTGTGTGCACGGCTTTTCGGGGTCGGAGATTCCGAATCTGACCCTGAAAAATATGCCCGAAGACCCTGGGGCCCCCCAGAGGGCAAGGGGGGTTTCTGTAAAACATCGAATAATTGCCTTCTAAATCCCCACTCAGGGGTTTTTGGGGTCGGGGATTTCGATTCTGATACTGAAAAGTATGCACGACGCCCCTGGGGCCCCCAGGGGACAAGGGGGGCTTCTGTAAAACATCGAATAGCTGAGTAATTGCCTTCTAAATTTCTATTCGAGGGTTTTCGGTGTCGGGGATTCCGAATCTGACACTGGAAAATATCCATTAATCTTAGCTTGTCTATCACTGAGAAAAATTGTCGTAGAATTGGAGAAATCCTGGACAATCCGTTCCCAAGAGACACATTTCGTTAAATTGAATAAATATTCCTTAAAACCGAAGAATATTTCAAGGATCATGAATTTTCAAAAGAATCTCTTGGGCCCGTGCGACTGCGGATAATGCATAACAATTAGGCGACAAAATCCGATTATCGAAATTTAGAAGGCAATTACTTAGCTTTTCGATGTTTTACAGAAGCCTTGCTCCCCTGAGGGGCCCCAGGGCCGTCGGGCATATTTTTCAGGGTCAGATTCGGAATTTCCGACCCCGAAAACCCGTGCACACAAATTTCTACAACTTTTAGTCAATTTTGACCATTTTTAGAAAATTCGGAAAAATCGATGCACTCCAAGATGCACTTTATGCACCCGCAATGCAGTTTCGATCCACCCCAAAGTGTAATAGAAAGACTTTTTTCTGATATTTTTTCGAAGACAATGCGGAAAACCGCAACTCGATCGGTTCATCAGAAATAATTTTCTGGTTTATTGTCTAACTTGCCTGATCTATAATAAAAACGATTTCAAAGTAGCAGATTTATGTTACAATGTTTGCAATAGAGAATATTACATAAAAAACAATAGCATTACGTTTCGTTTTCCAATGCTTGATTTTATGAAGTCATTAAAAATAATGCCTATAAAACACTGGAATGCATCCAATAAAGCCAATCATCAAAACAGGAAAGGCCTTTTAGAAGAAGCGAGTAATGTAACATTAAAGCGTAAATGTTCCCTGCGATTTTACTACAATCTTTATTCATGACATTGGCACTAAGGTCGTAACAAGCCGTTTTGGTTATTAGCATTTGACATTCAAAATTCATATTCACCTAGAACTGAGGTAAGTTTACATAAAATGTAGCTTAATGTTGCATTTGAAGAAATATGTAAACTTTCTGGGAACTTTAACAAGACAATTTTTCAGTTACTTTGTGTCGTTGTTCCTTGGAGTTAATTCAGTCCAAATTTTATTGATTTAGAGAAGAAAATATATGGAAGTAAAGTAGAAAGAATTATACATTATAGTGTATGTGCAGGTACTTGAAATAGCTTTCTAATGACTAAACAACTTTTATTGCTCTCAAATGTATTTTTTAACTAGGCGACTTTCGAAGAAGTAAATATAGATTGTCCCAAATCAAGATAATTCGTAATAGAAGATTCTGCTACACGGCAAATGTTTCTGTATAATTACATAGCGTTTCTGCCACTAGGATTATATTTTATCGGCAGTAAATAAAATACCTGTTAAAAAATAATAATTACATGTGCTCAGGATTCCTTTTGAAATTCAAATTGTCATAAAAGAACTATGATTTCAAGAAGATTGCGCATATTTTTTGTTTTATTTTTCTTTTCATTTTAAAATAAATTAAAAGTTTATAGTTATTTCCTTGTTCACTATAATCTAGTCAAAAATGTAAAAGAAAACATTAAAATCAAAGTACTTAAGGATTTTAATATTCATTATAAGATTCCATTCGCGAAGTTGTATACTGGCTGTTAAATATAAATATATTTAATTGCATACGGTTTAGGACTTTGGTGAAGGTCAAGTAAAAAAGCATTTAATTTTAAAAGAACTTCTAACTCATGGATTAAACAGTCAATTTTGATTAAAAAGAGGGAAAGCAAAAAGCTTGTTAAATGTGAAGACTTAAAATACATCTAACCCATATTCTAATATTTAAGGCAAAATGCCTCGAATATACATGCCAATGTACCGCCAAATTGTGACAAGGTACGAATCAATCTTTGTTAGCCTGTTTCTAACTGTTGATTTCGCAACGCAGCAGGTTTTCAGCACATTCCAATTTCGTTTTAGATTAAGACTGAATAGCAGAAATTCTTTGGTGACAATTACGTAACAGCCGATAGCAAAAACTGCCCATGTAATTTTGTATAGAAAGTGCAATCAGTTATCGAACATTTCCATTAATGCACTTTTTGAAGAACCTGTTGAGTAATAGTGACACCACCACGAAATCAGTTTAGTGGCAAGCGATGTAGGTAAACAAAATCATCAGATCATTTATTTGTCGTAGGTTGTAGTGACGTAAATTTAAAAAAAATATAATTAAGTTATCATTTTGAATATCTAGAGCAACAGTAAATTATACATCCCACGACATATGGGTTAATGTATCTAACTGTACAAATGAACAAGTAGATAAAATTAATTCAAAAATTTTGTTACACTACTACCATGACTTTATTTCAAATTAAATCTAAATTTAAGTTTAAATAAAACTGAAATTTCATTAAAATTCTATATCTTACAGTTGCTTCAAACGATTGATTAGTAATCATTAGTACACACTAAAATATTAGCATTTAACCAAACTTATATTAGTTCAAATGATGATACAGAGATATGGGGCGTCAAAGTAAAAAATTGGTTTATAAAACAAAAGTACAATGCGGTAAAATGTGTTTTTTGTATTGTACAGTAAGAGAATCATCTATTGTAAGTTTCTGTATATCAGAATACCTATTTGGTTTCTGTCATCAATATGATGTACCTAATAAAAATAAATAATTATCCCAGAACTACAACAAATGCAAACATTTTTAACAAACCCTGCATCTTTAAGACAAAAAATAGCTCTAGCATGACCCCTCAAAAAATTAGAGCAGATTCACTGTCTCATATGGAAGTAGTAGTGTACCAAAGGAAGAGGGCCAATAAGGTCGGTTTTCGACTGTATCAGAAATTGATCCTAAACATATGGAATATGTTTTTTGAACCTAAAGCAACAATATTAAATCTTTTCTAGGCAAGACACTCAAAAACTCTTAATAACATAATAAAACCATTTTTCTTACATCTGATGCACATAATCATATAAATAACATTTTTAGTGTATAAATGAAGTAAAATACCTCTACCCCTTCCATCTTTTTCCCCCTTCTACGTAACCCCTGAAAGATACTGAACAATATCAAAGAGATTTCACAAAAACATTTATCTGTCAGTCTAATATAAACAATAATAAAATGTTTCTAGTTTAAAAATAGGTCAATCCACCTCCTTCCATTCGAGCGTATATCTTTTTCTTCCTTAAACCTCCATCTTGTTTCTCTGATTTTTATAAACAGGCATAAAAATAAGTTTTAAGTATAATATTACAGTTCATTTCTAATATTTTTTGATATAGTTTGATGTGAGTCCCCTTGCCTCTCTCTGATTGGGGTGCTGGTTTAAAGTGAATCCCCTGTGTATTGCTGGCACTTTTTACACGATGTATAATTATATTCAGTTCTTTACTTAAGTGTCTTTTTGAGGTTATGCAGTCGAGTGGGAGGGGGAGTAGAAGGGGAAAAGGATAAGAGTTTACCTTTATAATTATAAACAAGTGTTTTTTACTAAAATTGTGCCGGAAAAATATTATTTATATGATTCTGAACACCAGATGTAAGAAAATGGTTTTATTAAATTTTTAAGCATTTTTTAATGTTCGGGTTGGGGGGGTTGTATCCGAATTGCTTAGAATCGATTTAATATTGTTGCTGAAGGTCAAAGAACATATTCCATATGATTAGGATGAATTTCTGTAGGGCCGAAAACCGGCCTTATCGACCCTCCTCCTTTCAATAAAACCTTTCAAGGCATTTCAAAGTTTGTTGAAAAACATTATTTTTGTCAAATCTGCTTATTTCGATACCAAGAATCTGTGGAGCTCCATGTACATGGAATATTGAGACATCCTGTATTAAAAAAATATCTAATCGTGCCTGCAATTTTCATTTACATTAATCTAGGAAATAAAAAATCA